TGTGGCTAAAGCAACAACTACTGGACTATGGAGTCAAGACAAAGGAAGTGACAATCTTTTGTGACAATCAAAGTGCCATAGCCATCTCTCAAAACCCAGTGCATCATTCTCGCACTAAGCACATTGATGTCAAGCATCACTTCATCAGAGATCATGTGGAAAAGAAAGATATCAAAATTGAGTACATCTCAACTGAAGAACAACAGGCGGATATCTTCACTAAACCACTAAGTGAAGCCAAGTTTTCCGATTTGCTTCACAAAATTGGTCTAATTCAATTAGACTGAGTGCGGTACACCTGGCGAACTACTTTCCACGTCTGTCAAAATGATGGGTGGGGACGTGGCCTTGAGAACAGTTAAAAACCCAATCGCCACTAGCCGCATAAATCACCCACATTAAATCCAATCGTCACTATAATCAGACCTCAACTGCCCACTCAGCACACTCAAATCTTTCATCGCCTTCTTCACGAGAATCTTCTGATAAAATTCTCAAGAACCCTAATTTCTTCAGATCTTCTCAAATTTCCGAGAAAATGAAGGTTGTCGGTGCAAATGTCCACTTCTAGAAGTTAGAAGCCAAGTGCTCATCACCGACATTCTTTCAAAGCTATCTGAAAATGATAGCCGCTCAAGAACTCTCCGAATTTCTTCAAATGGAGATTCGCCTCAAATTCGAGGAAGAAGTTCTTGAATTCTACAGAAATGGAGAGGTCAAAACTGCTCATTCAAAGAAGAACCCACAGATGACGTTTCCAGTCATCAAGTCCACTGTTGGAGGTACAAAAGTGAAGCTTTCGCAAAAGAAATTGGGAGAAAAGCTTCGCCTTCCCAATTCTGGAGTTGAAGTTGGGAAATTTCCAGTCAAAAATCTAGACTGGAACATCATTGGAATCTCTGGGCAAGTTCCTTCTGGCCCAGCGAAGAAAGCAGATCTAAACAACAATTACAAGTTGGTTTTGGAACTGGTCATCGCTTGCCTCGAGTGTGGAAGTGGAGGTCATGCCGATGACATCACCCAGGAGAGAGCCTTCATCATCAACTCTCTCATTACCAAAACTAAGGTAAACTGGGCTGCACACTTTTTCAAATCCATTTCAAAACATCTAGGAAAGCACAATCAGAAGTATCTCTGTCAAGGTCT